AAGTATGTGTGTTTTCTTTTCTTTCATTTTTTTGAAGTAAGTTGAATTCTTCTTTCTATTAAAGATAAGAACTTGAAGAATGTAAATAAACAAGAGAGACATTTTTTTAAAGAAAAATTACAAAAAAAAAAGTAAGTAAACATGTATATTCAAGAAGAAACTAAAATGTCTATTGCCAAAAGATAAAAAATATAGAGACTCTTGAAACTTGACTAGAAGCAAGAAAGGAATTGATAAGAATAAAAAAGGCCTCAATCATGCTTCTATATATATTATCTAACTAAGAGCGACATGACAATGTTTTATAGGACCTCTAATACATGTCTAACTTAGTAGACAAGCTTCTTATATGTGCACCACATGTCAAAATTGTACTACAAGTCACTAATATGTGTAACAAGTTGTCAAATTTTTGGCCAAGTTTTTAATCTACCAATTACCTATGAATACATATAAAGACAAAGCCATGTTTATAGTGCTTTTAGGAAGCTTATCTACAAGATATTATTAAATTTATCTACTTTTATCTATTTCTATCTACTCATATTATTTAGGTAATTATTAAAATAAATATGGATGTCCATGACACCTCTTTCTTTTTATGCCATCATCAATATTAGTCCTTAAATTTTAGTAGATCTAAATGTTCTTTCTAAATTATTAATGCATGCAAAATTATGAAGGTAAAAAAGTGTGCATGGGCAAAAGAATGAATTACAAAAATGTAAAATATCCACCTCCAAGCTTAGTATAATTCATCATCAGTCATAGCCATTAGACCAAAAAAAAGCTATACATGCTAATCAGGTCATAAAGTCTTCTAGGCTCTACTATATAATCTATAGTAATATGATTCACATGAAACTTTGTTAAATGAATATACTATTGATCTTTTCACCTCAAATTTTATTAAATGTATATCACTTAAATATTTTCAAAATTAAGAAAAGCCTAAAAAAGAAAATAATTATTTTAAATTGGTAGAAACAATGATAGTAGTGGATCAAATTTCGAAAGTTGGTACAATCAAGATTGTTTAGTTTTAAGTGCCTAAAGTACCATTGTTGAAAAGAATGGTAGACCCAGATTAAAAAAACCAAAAGTTTTACTTCCAACTCACTTAAAAGCTAATAAAGCTATTTGTGCAAAACATATTGTGGTAATCTATCTTCTTCATCTAAAGAGACTGCAAGTAACTAAAAGTAGGATGTTAATTATTTTAGGTAATATTAAGATCCCAATGGAAATTCCTACCAACCACATTGCCATACAAACATATGGAACATGGATTGAAAATAGTCATGGATACAAGAAAGTCAGGATAGAAGACTGGAATAGAAAACAGGCAACAAAGATGAGAAGGTTGAGATGGAAGACATGGACTAAGAACAAGCACAAGAAATAAGGAACATGGACTAAGAATAAAAACAAAGGATGGAATATACAATGCCAATTTTGATAAGTAGATTAAAAATTATATCATATATTTGTTGTAATCAATTCTTTTTTTTTTTTCTTTCTTTTTTTTATCATTCTAAAGATATGCATATCAAATTAATATTTGATAGAATTGATTATATATATATATATATATACATATATATATACATATATATATATATAATAAATAATTTATATTAATTAAATAAATAATATTTTTGTATAATACTTAAGCTTAATTGAGAATTTTTTAATAATATACTCAATAAATCAAATGTATTGTTAAATTATATTTGATTTGATATTTTGCCAAATAAAGATATTATCATTTAATAACATAATTATATGGTAAAAATAAAAATATGAATGTTATTATAAAAGAGTCTAATATAAGATAAAGTAGCAAAACAAGAATAAATGATAGGAAGGTAGTAAAAAATGTAGTCATAATATTGTCTCTTATAGAAATGACTTCTATTTACTTGTAGATGCATAAATGCCTCAAATCAAGATAAATGAGATAAGTAAATAATATAGACATCTTTAATAGAAAGTTAAAAGTAGATTTAAACAAAAATTACCTCAAATTACTAAAAATTGATATCCAAAGAGGACCAATTGTGAACATAGATCAAAATCAGATCCTGAGGCACAAAACCATGTGTCTACAATGACTCCAAGATTCTTTTGTCAATTAGAAAGTATTATTAGAGAAAAAACTTAATAAAAGATTCTTAAGAGTTTGTTTCATGTCATTTAGAGGGATATTGAGGTTTTGAGGGCTTTTTGAAGTTAGAAATGTACTTAGTGGATTTAGATTTTTAGAAATAAAAACAAGTTTACAAATTTTAGGATTCGGTAAGTTTTGTAGCTTATTGATGGGTGAAAATTTGTTAAGATGTCATTGTGCTAGTTGTGAATACATGTAAGAAGTTTTATATCAATTGAATAGTTAAATTGAAAGTAATCAAAGTTTTTGCGGGTTATGGTCTTCAATAATTGAAATTTAGGATTACTGAGGGATTTTACAATTTGGCAATACCTGCAAGTTCAATTGAAGGAAAAAAAATTGAGCATAATTCAGACTTAAATATTTTTACACAAATTAATTTTTTAAAAAAATAAATAATTCAGAAAAGAGAAATCTTTGTTGAAAAATCAATATTTAAAAAAGAAGGCAATCAACAACTTAAAGGTTTTGGAAGCTTTTCTTGTAATTGGTAAATTTGATTCTTCTCAAATTTTGTGTGCTTGATAATTTCTTGCTGATTGAAGTTGGAATCAAATTTTAGTTAGGATCAATAATTTGAACAATACTTATTGAGGTTTCAAACACCTATAGTAATCAATTAAGATTTATTTAGGACTTTTTTGAAATTTGATTAGGTTTTATTTAGGATTAGGATTTTATTAGGATTTCAATTAGGGTTTCAATTAGAATTTAATTAAATTTTGATTAAGATTCATTAAATTTTTAATTAAGATTTAATTAGGATTTGACTAGGATTTAATTAAAATTTATTTAAGATTTTTATTTTTAATATTTTTTAGGAGTCTTTGTTATTTTTTTAAATATATTTTTAGTATTTTTAAAGATTATTATTATTTCTTTAAGGTTTTCTTTTTTATATTTATTTAGGATTTTTTTATTAACTTTATTTGAAATTAATTTAAGAATTTTTTATATTTCTTTTGTTATTTCTTTCAAATTCACTTTGGATTAGTTAAAGTTTTATTAGGATTATTAAGGATTATTTAAATCATATTTAAGACTCTATTATATATATTTATCTATACATATATATATATATATATATATATATTGAGATGTTTAAGATATATATATATATATATATATATATATATATTTACATATATTGATACTAAAACTTAAGTATATTTTTATTATAAATTAATCATTATTATTTAAACATAAATATTAATTTATTATAAATTACTTATAATTTGTAAGAACATTCAACAAGTTTTTTCAATGATCCAAGTTTAACTTAAGAATTAAGTTTTTCATTTATAATAATGATATTAAAGCTTCTTTTAGAAAATTTTCAAAATTGACCCAATTATTTACAAAATCAATCCACCCATCCTGACCATCATCAAAAAATTCTCCAATGTCGGATCTATATTGGTTGAAAACCAATGAAAAAATGGTTGGATCCTCAACTAATGATGATGGATAGATCAATTTAGTAAATGCTTGGATAAAATTTTAAATGCTTTGATAAAATATCTTATTTCAATATATATATATATATATATATATATATATATATATTGAACTATGTATGTCATATTTATATTTTAAGATTTTTTTTAACAATAATTTTAAATTATATTATTTTTAAGGTTTATGATATATTTGCTATTTGAAAGAAATGTCTTTTAGTTAATTCCATAGAATGTGTTTTCTCTTTTATTGCCCCTTGTGTTATTCCAAGTTTTATTTTCTTTCATATTTCTGGAATTTATATGCAATTTTTTTTCTTATATTTGTAATTTTAAATTAATTCCAATTTTATACCCTTTATTTTTAATTAGCTCTAATTTTATTCTTTTTTATCACTTTTGTATCTAATATTAATTTTCTACTTTATTCAACCTTGTATTTTTTATTTCTTATTCTTTATTCCCCTCTTTTATGGCAAGGACTAATCTAATAGTAAATTATTAGTAATTTTTAATTTTTATCCAACTAAAAATTTGGGCTTCTAAATTAGAAGATGAGGATCTCGAAAAAATCAAACTTATTTCTATTTAAAAAACCCATGGCTTTTAGAACTCCCATCAAAAGAAAGACTTAAGTTGGATTTTGAAAAAAAATCAAACTTCCCACATCATTGCTTTATCCAACCTACCAATCTTGTGTCTGTTGAAAAAGAGATTGAACACTTATTCTAGTCTCTATAATTTTTCTAAAGCCAATTAAAATTTATGACATTTATTAAAGAAAAAAATATTTAATATGTTTTCATATTAAATAAATGCAACATTTATCTGTACTACCAGATTGAGAGTATTTTTGCCCAACTACTCTTTTCTTTTTGTTATACTTGATAAAAACATAATCATTATCTACTAGATTATTGTGTTTCTAAAACACCTAGTTTGCATTGTGCTTGTTTTTATATGAAAAAGTAATGAGATTACTACCATTTCTTTTTAAGGGATTCCAATGCTCCCACCTCCTTTACATAAATCAATTCTGATTGTTGATATTATTTCAAATTAAAACCTATTAAACAGCTCACCAACCAAGACCACAAATGACACCAAAGTTACAGCCCTATTCTTCTTTACTATATTTATCATTTATAAAAACACTTGTGTTTTGCAATTTTGTTAAAATTAGTTCTCAAAAAATAAAAATTATAATAATCAAACAATGAATGGTCAATTTGACGGAACATGAAAAGAGCTGCACAAGCTATATTTTTAGTTGAAAGACCTGAAATTGTTTCTAGACTTCTATGCAACAATTCACAACTTTGGATTATTAATGTTCAATTTTATATTTTCACATCCTCCATATAAAAAGTACCTTGCAAGTGAAAGCGTATTTTACCAACACTTTTATTGATTTATTCTGGTGTTTATCAGCTTGAACTACCTCATAGGTCTAAATGGTCCACGTATTAAACCAATACATGAAACCCTACGAATGAGTAACATTGATTCAAATTACAGTTCGCTTGACATCTTTCCATCCTGAAACCCTTCTCCGATTAAATCATCACTTTGTTGATAAAAATAAAATGAAATGGAATATAATGTTACACGCAACTGAGGCAAGTAGATGGATTGGTGGGTGCCCTGAAGAAGTTGAGAGTACCACACACATCTTAGCAAATGAATACCCTACGTTCTGGTGGCGAAATGTCGAGGTTGAGATAGTTGATATCCGCAACATGATCTCCAAATTCGTCTAAAAAAACACACGAGTTGGTTAGCACAAGAGAGCAAAATGATATGAGTTATTTCTTTCGAACGAGACATTACTTGAGTTGTGAACACTAGCACAATACAAAGTATCTAGCGTTGTGTTCACTTTAGAGAATGTTCTTAATGCTGAGATGAGGAAACAAAAAGCTAAAAATAATTAGACGCCTCAAAATCTCTAACACAACATGTCTTTTCCTAGTCAACAACCTATATTCCCAATGTTGGATTGAAAGTCTAGGAAACGAGATATTTTTCCTTCACTAAGACAAATTTCTACGATGTCTAAATTTCAGATTCATAACCTAATGGCGAAGAGTGGGTACCAGTCCAGCTGCACAACAGAATGTCAGCACTGCTTACCCTCTGATATTGTTCGTACGTAGTCAAGATATTCAGGAACTAGCTCTCGATACACAACACCACCTTCTCTTGCGTCCAGGATCAGGAGTGCACCTGATTCACCAATCACAATATGATTTAGAAGAAGCGGTGATTGTCGAAAAGCAAGCTGGACCATACTACAAACGAATTTGGATATTCACGTCGTTATCCAGAGGTATATACGTCAGATTCGTTGTTTAGAAACCGTACTACAACCTTCAGATCGCCCTGAAAAATCATGATTTTGGCGTACAATGCTCAAACTGTTTTTTTTACACCTACAGGATTACGCGGCGATTGAAGATTTAACAAGGATTTGAGAACGAAACCTCTGGTGATGATTTGAGCTTTATCAGAAATTACCTGAGGCGAGCCAGTCATCAGCAATTCCTTGCTTTGTGCACCTTACTAGTGGAGCTAACCACAAAATGTTTCGCAGGTCCATACTTTTGTCATACGGTATCGAAGAACCTGCCACAACCAGATCACTCTTAGCTAGTTAAAAACATTTCGACGACAATGCTTTTGTAGTAAGAGGAAAAAGAGCAGAACACCGTCTGTAAAACCAAATCATTCGTCTACAAAAACAACTGGCTTACCCTTCTGGCAGAATCCCAGATTAAGAGGAAATGTCTTTTCGTCATATGCAGGGTACTCCCGTGAATGAAACCTATGCAAGTAAGAGTTCTCACAACATCGACAGAGGCGTAAGCTTCTGTGGCAATGACCATTCTTGCAAAGACCTACTTTCAGAAGATCAGATGCAGGCCAGTAGTAGTGTCTGAATGGCACCTCCAAGGCAGGAGTGGTAGATACATAGTGGAGGAAAGGACTCTTCATCTGATCAGAACTTACAAAATGCCAAGCCGACTTGTGTCGTACGAAGTGAACATATGGCCATGGAAAAGGTCAAAGCGGCTGAGTGACACGTTTAACCCAACAAAAGGCGATAGCATGCTGATGGCGTGATACAGAAAGACAATGTACGAATTGATCACCTGCATCACAACCGACAGAAAAGCAATAATTTCAATGTGTTTTGAAAAGCTACTCAATATTAAATGCTGGTAGGGAAACACTACAAAGAGCTGAAGTTGCAAAGTTTATAATGATATGACCTACGTCGTCGTCAAATCTGTTCCCGTAGTCGTACTTCGTTAGAGAGCAACGCTCCGCAGTGGAGTTTTCCACGTCAGGGACCTGTTGCAAAAAACATCACCCCCTTCAAACTTCATACGATAACAGATATAATTATATCTTCATACCTACATTCGAATACATTTTGGATAACACAGAAAAAAGTTACGCCCCTGAGTCAGAGTCCAACTAAAACACAATGCAGGTTTTGAAAAGTGAGTGAGCCAACCGAGTGTCTGATCGGAGAGAGCTCGGTTAAGACCGCGGACGGATCACCTCCAAATTCTACTGCTCTCTTAGCCAATTGAAGGATTTCAGGAGGGGGCCACTGAGCAAGCCTCTCCATTTTCTCACGCGCATCGCCATCGATATCGCCTCCATTCACCAACATTGCATTCACCTCAAACAAGTCATCCACAGAGCTGAACTGCGGCATTGCAAACTGGCTCTCTTGTAGCCTTCTTCGTCGCCGCCGAGTGGACGGCACCGCATAGGACTCGTCATCGAGAACGCACCCAGACGAGGGCGAAATCTCATGGTAGGGCACCAACGGTCGAACACAGGACCGCAGCTCACCTGCTCGGGCAGCAGTCAAATTGCCGGCTCGAACGGGGCCCGAGAACAAAGCCATCAACTGCTCCGCGCACGTAGCAGCGGCACCGCTGCTGCAGAGGCTCTTCCCATTGAATTGTGGGTCCCTAGCCGAAACAGAAATGAAGGAAGCATAATGGAATCCCAACACAGCAATCATGGGCACAATCAGCAATCTGAGCACAAGGGAAAACGGCGATCGACCTCTCCACACACCCATCCCCCCTGTCAATCGATTTCTAACCCTACCCGCAACATCTCCCTGCTCCCTTCAAATCCTTCAACTGCAGCGTCACTCGCCCCCTCCCCCCGTCTCTCCCGCTGCATTCATCCCCACGTTTGCTTCATGGGCACGTGAAATTCGTGCCCGCGATCTCACTTCTGCGCAATTTTCTTCTCTCGCTCTCACTCTCTCCGATTGCTTTCGGATTCACAGGCCACACGAGGATTAGATTCTTCCCTCCCATCGACGTGTTTTGTTCCGTCTCAGCCGCGACTTTGCTTGTCCGCTGCTGCCTCACACGGTGGAAGGGCCGACCACAGTCGGAGACGATGCCGAGACCTGTATCCGCCTTGGGAGCCTGTGCCCGCGGTGCTATTGTGTTCGATGTTGCTTGACAAGGAGAGTTGGGCATTGGTGGACAACTCACGTTGTTGTTGTTTTCATGTTATTGTGAGAATATGATTCTATGCTTCTTGTTTTTTTATGCGGTAATATTTATTTTTTTATAATTAAAATGTGATTATAAGTCTTTTTTTATTTTTATATGGTGAGTGTTTAGGTTTATTTTTAGACTGTTAAATAGATGCATGCTTTTACTAAATCAACCCATCCTTGATGAAGAATATGGTAATCATGATGAATATGGTTGGTTTTTTATTGGTTGCAAATCCAATAATATAGAAATGAATATAGATTTATTATTATTATTATTATTATTTCCCTTCATGATAGCTATGATGGGTTGATTGATGTAGTAAAAACTTGGGTTTATTTAATATTTTATGCAATATATATATATATATATATACATAACTTTTTTCAAGTTCATTAGTTATGTGGATATGGTGTTTGTGAAAGAGAAATGTCAATTTGTAATAAGACGAATTAACAATAGAAGAAATATGTGGGAATAATGTTCATTCAACTATTGGATGGCTTGAATCTTTAAAGGATAATGAATAAGATGGTGGTCTTTTTTTTCACAAGTTAGTTTTGATCACAAGAGTGAGTGGCATGAAAAATCAAAATAAAAAAAGATAGAAAGAAAGAAAAATAGATAGAATATAATAATAGAACAATATACATGATTGATCAAAAAGATTTAAAAATTTCTTGAAATTTTAAAGCACGTGAAACTAAAAATAAACCACATGTAATGAAAAAAATAAATGGAAATTTTCCAAATTAAATTATATTAACCACTAGCACATTTAAATTATGCTTTTTTTTTTTTTTTTATGGAATTCCAGAATTTGATAAATCATAAATAAACTTATTTCATCCTTTTAATTTTTAACTTTCCTAATTGATGATTTCGGGTAAAATTTTGAAAATAACTTTACACAAAAAAAGATTGTTATTATAAAACAACATTATTATATGAATACATTCTTTTATTCATTACAAAACTATAAGAAAAAAAAAATATATATATATATATATATATATATACATAATCAATTTAATTTTATAGCATTCTTATAATGTAATTTTATAGTATATATAAGAATGCTATAATAAATTTAATTTTATAGCATTCTTATAATGTAATTTTATAGTATATATAAGAATGCTATAATATACATAATCAATTTATAATATTTATTCTAATAAAAAATCATTTATGATTAATGGATTTACATGGAATTCAAAAAATATATACACTAATCACATTATGACATAAAATAAATTTAGTAAGATTTTAAGTAATCAAATTGAATAACTTAACATATTTACATTAAAATATATAATAATATTATTATTACTATTATTGACGTCATGAATATAATAGAATTTTAATTTCCATCTTCAGCATTTCATTTTAAATGATATTTTTATTTTTTTAATTATTTGTCTTAATATCATTTCAACAAATTCAATAAGTACATGTATTACAATTTATATATTGTCTGATATTTTGTAACCATGACAAATTTAGATTTCATTTTATTCTATTTTTTAACTTTCTATCTTTAAATTACAAAATAATAAATAACACTAAAGATTTTAACTATCAATGATGTTTAGATTGCCAACTCTAATCTAGTTTTAAAAAGTAAACAGAATGTGCCAGATGTGTTTTATATAACAAAAACACAAGTTTATGTGTTAATGTAAGAAAAAGAATACAAAAAAAATATATTAAATTAAATAAACCAGACAAACATGTGTGTGTGTATATATATATATATATATATATATATATGTGAAAATGTATGTATGTATTTATGTAATAAGGTTGCTTGTAAATCCTGTTTTCTTATTTTGATTAATGTCATATTATTCTGTATAAAACTATAAAAAAATAACCACTTAAAACTGTAAATCAATACAATATATATAATGAAATAAATACATTATGATAACATAATTTTAAAACTAATTATGAAGTATTTTTAAATAATATATGATATTATATATATTTGTACATATAATCAATTCAAAATGACATTCTCAAAAATACTTGTTCATACAGGCGCACCCTTATAGTCTGAACGCATAATAATTTTATCATAATACAAACAAGCTAGTGAAAATTACAAGCATACAATTTACATTATTTTTTTTCACTCGAATTTAAAATTTCAAACTTTCTAAATTCCTTCTATATATGTTTTAAAATTTAGGTAAGTAAAGAACAATGCAGTGACCTTGAACGTAAATAAGTATAATTCATGCAAGCAACATAAAACCATGGAATACATGTTTTTCAACATTAACAAGAATTTAACAAATAACAATAGAAATAGTTAGCATACAATGAACCGGAACGATCAGTTTTAATAGGAGGTATGTCAAAGCTTCTGGTTATTGTCTGATATAATATTAAGTACAAAAGCCTGGGTTTGAATCACAATATCAACAGAGAATTGTGGTACAATGCAGGCAAATGGTCATGATCGTTTAACAATAATTGCAATAACAGAGCTCTTCCAAGAACAATATTTGCACTGTACATTTTATGAACATTGGAGTCTCTAAATCTTTGGTACATACCAATGTCAAGGCGAGCATGCTTTAATCTTCATCAAGCAGGCTGTTTTAAATACCAACGTATCTTTCAATAAAGTTGGTAATCTTGCGTGATCATCCAATTGCTGGAGGATTGCTAAACGGAAGAGATTACGAATGTGTGAAAGCATATATATATCTGTACCGAACCTCATCCTTAGGGGGCTGGCAGTACTTCGGGATGGTGCTTAACAAGTAGGAAAGAAATGCTCCCACCACAATGTCAGCACACGACGACATGGTCATCTTTAACACATGAAAACACGCATGAACCGTAGCATGCAGCATGAAACATAAAAGCGGCGCACATCACAATTATCTCACGCCACCTTAAGATAGATAACTCCTCCAGGTTATCCAACTTCTCAGCATGATCAGGCATGACAAGACTTTAAACTTCCAACTCGTGCCTTCTCCACTCGTGCCAGGTGAAACATGGAATCCAACGTCTTCTACGCTTCATGCGAAATATTCAAACAACGTCTAGCGTTCTCAACGGGCACTTTACATGTCTCTAAATTCCTCTTCTCTGTCTCTGTCGGTCGGGATTCTATCACATAGACACTTAACCACTCTTTACATCACACTCGTTTAACTGTAAACCGCGGACAAGTATCACTCTCGGCCCACTGCAAGTGCCTCTACTCCGAGTCATGCCAGCTACCACGGATAATCTCGAAATGACACACCTTGTGACAATTAGCACATTGCATCCATACACCACATTCAAGTTCCAGTACCAACAGCAGACCAATAACATCAATTGCTCCGTTTCAGTCCTTCACAGATGACAAGCACCATTGTCCACCTTCGTCCGCAACGAAATCACGTAAGGCAATCGCCATCCATTCCCACTACCTTCGTCTACAAACCACTCCTCACGTATACGAGCTCGTAAAAGTCCAATAATACAAGATTCGAATACACAAGACCACGGCTGCCAGCCAACTCACCTACATAATTTCAGGAAACCGGAGCCTAACCATCTCGGAATCGGACAGCGAGTGGTCCCATGAGAGTACCATGAAATGAAAGGGACGATGCAGCTTGCCGGCTTCAATCACAGCGAGACGGTATACCCTGAAACTCCTCACTCTACTACTACACACAGAAATGGACCTTTTCTAAAGCAAATTTCCACGAAAAATTTCGGGATCCAAATTTGGCAATGAAAGAGCACTCGTCACACGATACCTACAGCTGATTGCGCACGGCGCGTGCAACACGAAGCACTCGCTAAAACACTTCAACACCAACGCATCGCAGAAGAGAGAACAATTGTCCATGTCTCCTTTGTTTCTCCTCACAACGAAGGAGGAGGAGGATGATCAATACTTGTCAGTAACCAGGGTTTATACCAGGGTATAACAGCGATACTTCACCAGAGTATCAACCAGGTTACCCGCCGCAAGTTTGTCCTGAATACAGGGTGACAGCCTGTGTGGTGCCATGTTCGAGCATCTCTTGGAAGATAAGCCCCTTCCGACCGAAATTTGGATGACAGACATCGAACGAATGATGATCTGTCTGAATGGAGCTTCTCTTGTTTTCATCCACTCTTGATGAATAATCTACACGGGACGGATGACTTGAGTGGCTCATCTTCTAAAGAATACGTCGTAGGTGCTAAAAATACACACGTAGCCTTCAGTTTTGACGCGGAATATGTCGTCTCCTCGTCTTGTCCATTTGCTACTTGGGCCATTTTCATCACCAACCATCCATTCCAATGTGGTGGTGGAATAGAAGAGTTCCCATGGCCGCGAGAACATGGGCACGAGTGTCCGTGGAAAGCAGCACGGAGCGGTGGAATTTAAGTGAAGCACCAGGGACGAGAGCCGGAATCCAAGGCGGCTGTCGAAACCGAGGAAGCTTCCGTCTACTTGGTCCGCACATGGACAGGACTGTTCTGCGCAGAATGTCGGAGAGACGACTCTAGCAATTCCACTTCCTCGCTTCCTTTTTTGGCTCCTAGTGGCCCAAACCTTGGACCCAGCCACGGCCCCAACTTTTCTGCTCATCGCACGCCGGAATTCAAGCCAAGGGGATGTTAATTTAATCTTCACCTGTTCTTAGCCCCCCTTCCCCACCAATTTATAAAGAGGGCCCACATCCTTTTTTTTTTCTATGTGTGGCAAAGCCTTGTTTCTTTCCAGTGACGGTGCGTTGCATCTAACTCATCCAGGTTCTTTCCAGATATAGCAAGCTAC